GTGGTTAGACAGTTTTTATATTTGGAGCATTAAGCTTGTCCATGGCTAGCATGCTGTGTGTCACTGAGCAGACGCCAGATGAAAGTGATACTTCAACAAGACACAGACTTTAGGCAGGAGGGTAAAGGAGAGGAGGAGGGTGGGAAAATAGCATTATTCAGTCCACACATATATTCACCAAGCTAGAGTAAACACCCTGGAGACATTTTTTTTTTCTGTCATTCAGCTCCTTGAAATTTTATAGTTCAACATTTGAGGAATAAAGATAAAGCTTGTTGAGACCTTCCAACCTTTTCTTTGACTCCATGAAAATGAGTGTCATTCTTTTTGAGCAAAAGAAAGAGTTAAAGAAAACCGTACAGTAACAAGGGTTTGGCCGTGTTCAGGCTGAGTTTCAAAGGTGTGAAAAACACAGCCCTCTCAATTCCTTTGGGCGATTGTTCACCACAGCCAGCACCAGCACCAGCACTGTAGGTGCCTCTGGCAAAATGATGCAACCCCATGCGGCTAAAAATATGGGTTTGGTTCAACTTTCACCGTGCCGGACAGTGATATCATCTGGCAAAGGCACTATGTTGACCAATCACATACAGGGGGCGGTCAGGACATAGATGCCCACAGGAAGAAGACTCTTTTGTTTACCCTGTTAGCATGAGCATTTACTGCTACTCACTGTTGAATTTAGGCCACTATTACGCACCATAATGGCACACCATATATTTTTGTTAGTATGTACTGTATGTTAAACCATGTTTTTATCTGTCATTGCAGACACACTGGTGGTAGAAATGGTGCTAAGTTGGAGTCGGCTATGTTAGCAGCATGGCTAACCAAAACACAGTGGAAACCCCGGGGCTGGAAATGTGATTGAAGCCACTAATTTCGACTCATCACATCATGGCCCCATCGTACACGCCTACAGTACTTCCCCTGTAATTCCTAACCCCCCAGGAAAAGCAGCCCTTTGCGTTAAAACACAGCAGGGAGTTGCATTTTTACCAGATCAGACTGTATGGCTGCTAAAAGCCAGTAATTTGTTTATACTTTCTCACTTGTTTACTTGTTCGTTCTCAGAGGCACATATGATTTATGGAAAGATAATGTGATAGAATACAGCCTAAGCTTTTTTGCTAGTAATTATTAGATCTCACAATGATTAATTTATGAGGGAAAATTAAATCTCTACATAAAGTATTTGCTTGAGTGAACATAGATGAGATATGATTATTAACTGTGTGGCCCCTAAAATTTTATCTTTATTTGTATATTTTAGGCCATGTTCTATAATTTGATCATATTTTAGTGCTGTATTATGTTCTACATTTTTGTATTAAGTCGTTCACTGGCTTAATGTAATATTTTCTCACACATTGGTTTTCACCTTTTGTACCTCACCAATAACTAATGTGGTCCTTCTGAAGGGTCTGAATGTCTCATACACATGAGTTTTGCCAGTCAGGCTAAGTGCTGAGCTATAGGGAATGCCTCTCTTAACAGGCTTATCTGTGAACTGGGAGTGAATTGTAAATGTGCAAACACAGTGAACTTACTATGTGGTGGATGTTTATGATGCCTTACTGATCATGTGAAGTATCGGCTGCTCTTTTGATTCATCCTTCATTGGGCACGAGAGCGTGAAAGAGTTTATCCATGCGGGGAAGAAGCGTATTGTGTTCTGTGTGGTTCAGATGGAAGCTACTCAGAGCCTGAAAGAATCTGTGAAAAGCAAAATCACTGAGTGGACTTCATTGTCAGGGGAAAAAAATGCAAATATTATATTTTTTGTCATAATTTATTGTTTGGAGATTGGTAGGAAATGGAGTGGTGATTGATACATTTTCTTTTTGTCCTCTAATTTTTCTCAGGGGCAAAAGACGTGAGGTGCTGGAGTGTTTCTCCTTCTGGTGTGTGAATGGGTGGGGGGGTCCTCTGTGCTGAAGAATCAAGGATTAAAGTCAACACAGGTGAGTCTTTATTTCTTACATGTACAGTATATGTTGAGGTATACAGTCGGCTAGCAGGTGTCAGTAGTAATATTTGTTCATAATTCTGCTTATCGATTAGAAATGCATGCTTTCAAATTAGTTCCAGCAACATAAATTACTGATTTTTGTGTCTGCTCAGTTACTGATTAGCATCCAGACTGTTAGCAGCAGGCTAGCAGCTGTGTTTGTGTTGTGGTGCCTACATAAGAGTGAATTTCTTGCTTCATGCTAGCATCATTAGGTGATGACTGTGTCCTCAGTTCTTTTTCTCTACAATTATGTTGCTATCAGTTGTGTGCAGTTACAACTTACCATTGTTACAATGTTTAAAACTGTGAAACAATGCAATGAAATTTAGTTCATTTTCAGCTTTATTGAACTTGACAGTGTTGAGGGAGCAGAGAGCCTGAGTGTCCAAAATTAAGGAAACATTTAGCCTCTTAGCTGTGCACCATCCACCTTTATTTAAACCCCCTATGTTGGTGTATAAGCTGCTTGACAAAAGAGAAGCAGCTTTAGGCAGTTACAGGAG